AGATGAGACAGACAGGGTTTGACATTCATCTGAAACATGACCACGAACATAAGTGGCAATATATATTTACCGTACATTTAAGTTGTTGTTTTTCTCTTTTACTGTAAGTTTTGCAGAATAGACCAAGTGGACAGCAGCTGACCTGGTCTCTGGTTTAAACATCCTCTATTATATGGATCATACAGTTTATGCTGCTGTAATATTACGTTTTAACTGTAAAAAAAAAAAAATGCAAAACATCTGTGAGTAGTTGGTTCTAAACATTAATACGCGTGAGCACATAAGCAGGGCGGCGCCCCTACCGGACGTATGTTCCTGTTCACATGCCGGCCTCCTCTGGAGACTCGCATTCTCAACACAATGAAGCTCTAACACCGTTTTAATTCAAGTACAAGTACAAGACCACAGCTAAAACCTTCTGCCCTGCATAGCAATTATGTGGGGGAACTGTAAACTTCCGTTCACACAGCAATGTGTAATTACATGAGCTTAACAATCTTGTATTAAGTTATAATAAATTGTAATTACAGGAAACAGGGCGAATAAACTGCCTTGAAAAGGTACTAATGTGGCCGAATGTTGCATTTTAATGGAATAAGTATTGCATTTTTTCATGACAAAGGTCATAAAAGTGGCAGGCTTGTCACGCTCGTCTTCACGAGTACAGTTGGACTTCTTGTGACTTTACAAGTAGAATACCATAGTACGAGGAGGCAGAGAGGTTCTGTTATAGGGAGGAGACACATTCTCACTTCTCAAAGAGCCACATCTACAAAGTTGCTTCAGCACTTTATAGTTGAAGGGGTTGACACACTTGAAAGCTTCTCCTGAGCAAGGAACTTTGTGTTTAGATGTTACATTGCAAGGAAGCCAAGCAAATACTTTAAAGAGCTTTTTTTTTGCTTCATGCAGGACAAAGTTGATATCACCTCTGTGAGGATTAGATAAACCACCAGGGGGAATTCGTATTAACGGGAAGTATTCATCCAGGCGTGGGCTTAACGCAGCTAGTAGGAAAGATCAATTAAACAACTCCTTGTCACTGAACATCTTTAAAACAACGTATCCTCAACCAACGGTTCATGTGATATCTTACCAAAAGTTACTCCTCATTTTTCGTGGTTTTTTCCTACGAAAGCCAGCAACACGTGTCAATTTACACTCATTACATGCATACGGCCTTTTCAAAATAAACTTCCGTCTTCACAGGTTTTGGCAACAAACCTACTTAGTTACGTTTAGGAATAGATCGTGATATAGTTAGTTGGGTTAGGGTAATTAGTTAAGTTTAGGAAAAAAATAGTTGTTTGGATTAAAATACCTAAAAAGTGACTAATTCATGTGACAAATAAATCAACGTTGACTTCTCGTTTCACATGGGGAATGAACAGCGGCCTGCTGGCTGATTGTTGGACCCATCCACTTCTTTACACTTCCTTGTTCATGATTATGTGGACAACTATGAAGTACGGCACATTATGTCTCATTGGTGAAGCTACAAACACTGGATGAGACCAGCCTGTTCTCAATGATATGATCGCTGAGTTTTTAAACTACAATTTCTGAGATCTTCATTTTCAACTGATTGTTAAAAAAACAAAAAAGAAGTTAATTTTGTGCAGCTAACCGTGCCAGAAGGAAAAGACATGGACTGGGATGAAAACCAGGTGGAGACTAGAAACATTCCTCCTGCATCTCAGACAAACCATTGCATTAGGAGCTGCCATGACTACACACTAAATTGTGATTCTGACACTGTTCCACATTCCGTTCCCGAGAGGAAAAAACCTTTCATCTTCTTATTTGTCCAGATTATTCTGCACAGAACCACGATATCAACCAGTGCATGTTATCTGTTTTACTGTAAATCATGCAGACGTGGTCCTTCCTGTTTGGCTTTGGATTCAAACTAATGAAGGAGGAGGCAGACACCGGGAAGGGAGTTAATGCGACGGGTCGGGACCCGGCGCTCGAATGAACTCCGTGCAGATATGCAAAGCAATAACTTACAACCTTTATTTATCCGGTGTAACCTGACGGAAGACACATGCTGCTTTCCATCACCGCCCCGGATCTCACACACCTTTTAACCCTACGCACATCCTGGACCTAACCGATGCAACCACAGTCTTCTACATCTGGCTGACAAGTAGCTGAACCATTGCGATGGATTTTCATTTTTACTGTAACACCTCAAGCCACTTTCACTAAGCTCAACAGCTGATAAAAAAAGGAGAATTAATAAAACAGTCTGTGATACAGCAGCAACTAATAAAAACGTGGATATTAGTATATTAACATTTTAACGGAGAGCACGGGGTTGTAATGTTTATAGCCTCTTTTATGATCATTTGCGGCCTGTAAAGCTGATCCAACAACAATTCATTACAACATGACAGCGCCGGACAAGTAGCCTACCTGTAAGAGAAGGATAAACAGCCGCATGTCTTCACCCAATAAAAACATGAACTAACAGGACCATGTGTGCACGCATACACAGAACACATCCATTAGATATTGGCTAGGGATGTCAAGACAAAGAAAAGAAAGGAAGTAGGTCAATGTATGCGTCTTGTGCGAGATGGGATTTCTGCCTCCAAAACAACCATTTATCTTGGGGGGCCTCCACGTTAGCACACTAACATGCGGGCTATCATTCACTGGAGAGGACTGAGCGGAGGGAAAATATTACTCGGGGAGAGATAAGAATGTAATTCCACAAAAATCTACAAGAGAGAGGTGCGTAGATTGTAAAAGAATGGGCTCTTTAATTGATTTTTGTTTACATTATTCGTTATTTCCCTCATTATAACCACTACCAGATGCTAAAATGACCTTTTGATTACCCCTACATTAATAGAGTAAAGTAAGCCAGGATTAAATTAATTTTACAAGCCAACTGGCTCACTATTGGCTGTTTAAACAAAGTCACATAGAGCGCTGGTACTGCAGACAAGAAATGAATTAATAAAGGGAAATAAAAGAGAAGAGAGAGAGAGGAAATCGGAGTTTGTTAAATTCCATTGGGCGAAAAAAAAAAAAAGGACAAGAAGAGAAAGAGCCTGAATTACAATGATTTTACAAGCCATGTAGCCACTTTTGTGCTTTGTGTATGCACTGTAGGTGTATAGCTGTGGCCTTGGCAAGGCGCCTCCCATGAGGAAGGAACGCTGCATAATACTGGAGGCCAGAGGTGAGACTTTCACAGCTCCGCACAATACATATTCAATAAATAGCGGGCCCCGGCTGCACTGTTGCAAGAGCTTAATTAAAAAAGTAACAGTTCCAATACGTTGGAGTCGGGCTGACCCACATCCCCTGCTGGCTTAGTATGCCTGTTAACGCTGTGTGTGTGTGCGTGTGCGTGCGTGCGTGCGTGCGTGCATGCGTGCGTGCATGCGTAGTGGGATGTTGGGGGCACTTGAAAAAGAAAATGAGAAACAGTAAGAATCACTCTGAATGAGGATACACACTTGGTGCGCTTAAGCAGCTGTTAGCATTTGAGTGAAAAAGAATGTGTGCGTGCGTGCGTGCGTGTGTGTGTGTGTGACTTTGAGGACATGAATTATTCAGAATAACCTTAGGCAGTGGTATATAGCACACTTCTGCCTTGCGCGCACACATCATGCACGTGTGTGTGAGGAAGTTCGAGTGTGGTTCAGCCATATGCTGTGGATCTAATCCACTATGACAAACCTCCGACATCACATGAACAAAAGGCATGCTGAGCAAATCTACTCATTCATAATAAATGTAAGAGAGTGAGAGCGAGAGAGAGAGAGAGAGAGAGAGAGAGAAAGAAAAATACTAAAAAAATAAATAAATAAACCGTGCATCTCTATTCGTGGACTAAAAATCTAGTCTGTGGTTCTGTTGCAGCATGCTACGACCAGCCAATCATAAGAAAGAATAACAATATTCATAAAATAAAGAAATTGTTCACTATAAATAGCAAAAGGCAAATAACAACCTACAATAAGTGGCCTAGCTTTGTCAATCAGACGAGCTGGAGGACATGATTGGATGTCTTGTCTTTACATTCGCTGTACATGTACACTCCATGAGTAATTTCAGAGTGAGTGAATATACTTTTAAGGATGAACAGCTATAACTTCCTGCTCTAAAAGGCTGCCTTTAAAGTCCCAGTGAAACGGCAGTGAGAGCGTCTTTAGCGTCAGTATTCCTCTATGAAACCGAATATTTGAGCGGTGAACAGTCACAAAAGGGATTTTAATCAAATACTTCGCATTCCATTTGAACTGCTAAAAAGAGGGCGGGCTAAAGAATGTGGCGCAACATGGAGCTACGGAGGGCTGTGCTAATAGTCGCAGATTTGATTGGTGGACGGGTGTCATGATATCATTGGTTGAGCTTGTTAGTGCAAGCTTACGTAGGCACACGACAGGAAAGAGGGGGAGCGGGGGGGTCGGGATTGGAGAGGTGGAGGTGCTGTATGAGTTTCTTGACTCACATTCTGACTGCTGCTGGGTCATCCATTATTTAACACACACACAAACACACTCACCTTACACTGCACATTTACCCAAAAGTTACCGACATTTGGGGATTCTAAATGCAGCCATGATGCAAAATGTTAGGACATTAAATGTTATTTCCTGGTTTATTAAAGCAAATAATCTCACTTTGTAATAAATGTGGGCAATAACTTGCAATAACTGAAAATGCATTCATATAAATTCCTGTAAAATCATATATTTGTATTATCTTCCACCAACGTCTGCAGAAACTTTAATCAAGAGATCTGATTCTCTAGTTCAGTCCGGGAAACACTACTCTCACCACTCGTTGGCAGGCCTTTAATGAACAGCAGGAACCCTCGCATACAAACACACACACATAGTGCGCTAACCTAAACCTCCTGTAACTGAAAAATATAAACAACAGCCCGCTTTCTTCCTCGCACGGCCTGTCTGAAGTCCATCAAGTTATAAATGATTCATCCGGACTCCCCCGCAAAGTAAAAACAACCCGCTGCTCACCATTCATTCTGACCGGGCAGCTCGTGGATCCAGGGCACCGGGTCCTCTCCCACAAAGCCCATGTCATCATGGGAACTGGAGGACGATTGGTCGGAGAGATGGGCAGGAAGCGGCGGCGGCCTATCGTCTTCGATCATCACTACGTCGTCCTGAGGCATGTTCACCGTCGGAGAGAGCTGGTAGTTACCTGAGAGAGAGAGAGAGAGGGAAAGAGAGGACATTTATTTCTTCACAATTATACAACACAACATGGCATCAATACTCCAGTTTTTTTATGATTATTATTGGTGTCTGATAACAAGTGGGACAAAAACAGGCTGAGAAAATATGCGAGTGTGGTGAGGAAAAGTATGCACACACACACACTCCTCCACAGACATGTTTGTACAAACATCATTTTATCTGACTTTAGTAATTACCCAGATAATACTGTATACAGAGATAACTTCAGCTGAGATAATTGTATTATGAAAGTTTGGTATCGGGACCTGCCTGAAGGACACCAACATATCTCTAAAAGGGTAAATAATGGTGCTCATGAGGTTCAGCTTTGCAATGCTGCGTGCAAACAACGATGCTGTATGACAAGATGATATCAGATACTGAAGAAACATAACGCTCGTGAACATGGACACAAATGTACACCGCAGATCCAAATGATAGGACAAAGTAGCCATCAAGACCCACAGGAGAAGACACTTAATTATATATTGTGATATATAAAATGCTCCAGAATCCAGACTCTAAATGTCGCTGAAAAAGTTGAAGAGCTGAATAGCTTTATCCATTCTCTTTCCATCCATCTCCAAGGACAAATATGAGCAGGAGAGGAGCTCCCCTGATCTGTATTCTGTCCTGCCTGACCCTCCCTGCTGAGGACTTCTTTGAATCGCTCCTTTGCTGCTCCTCAGGAGTCCAAGTCGATGGGGGAACGCGCTGTCACGGCTGGCGCTCAGGACCAAGGGCATGAGAAGGGTTGTACGACGGCGTGAGCAGCGGCATTACAATACAGATTCGGAGGATTCACTCTGCAAATTGATCGGCGCATGAATGTGTATGGACGCGGAGTTCAGACTCTAACCACACACACACCTGCTTGCTATTAGACGCAGGTTTACAGAAATGCTGGACTTCCTCTGGTCTTTGCTTTTGTTTCCATTATCGGAGAGCCGTTTTGCAAATGTAATAGCTTAGGAACAACCGTGTGTAATCACTAACAGCAGACAGCCATATTTACCCTGGCACGATCCCAACGTGTCTCTGAGAGGCATTTCATTTCACTGGGGCCCGACGAATGATAAATGCATGTTGTGGAAGTAAATCTGAGCACCAATCAACGGGGCAATGAGGTGTTCAGTTATTTGCAGGGATAAGAAGAAAAAAAAGATATATATATATCTACAAGAAAAGCAACGATACAAAAACAAAACAGCTGTACGAGGGAGAAACACAAGGTGGGCTTAGAAAGGTCTCCCCCCCTAAAAAAAACTCTCTAGTCAAACAACAAACAGAAAATCAAGCACAACTTGTGTGTACTCTAGGTTCTTTTTCATAAATGTCCTGAGTGTTATGTGATAAAAGAGATTTATTATACCTTATGTGAATACATGTTCCATACCAAAGCGTTAAATGTAGCTATAGTGGATACAGCCAATCTGCTACCTTACTTTAATTGCCTCTACAAGCCTGATGAATATTATTGTCCTCCCATGAAACAAGTTGCTTTATACCATGACCTCAAAACTTTCCCAAAGCCTGCCCCGGTACAGTACTTGAGCATGTGTTAATTGATTCTTTTGGAAGCCTCATCCCTTTGTCTATAGACTGCTCGTCTAAACCAGTTAAGATGGCTGCCAACACTGTACAGGTGAAATGAAGGCCATATCTCACTTGGGCAGCTTGACAGAAAACCATGGGTAATTGAATTCAACCTATACTGTAAATCAGCGGGGCTGAAGCAATGACAGTGATGAACTCCAGGAAGTAGGCCGATCACTTTCATAGCAGGCAGACCAAGTAGTGAGGAGTTCGATTAGAGCTGGGTGTCAATATTCATCGTTTATCTTTCATCAGGTTTTCGTTCATATCATTATGAGGGCATTTGTGCATTAGAGGGAGCGGGTATATGACATTCAGAGCAGTAATATAGCAGCAAACAACTATTGTCTATTATATATACTGTATATATATAGATATATACTGTATTGTCTTGTATGCCTTATCCTCTGTATAATAGGATGTGTGTCCATTGGGGCCATTCCTACACCGCTCTTTACTTTCCCCGAGCCAAAGAGTGGAGTTACCTCTCGGTTGCATCAGCCACACTGAGAATTTCACTACAGTAGCCGCGTGGAAAGAATTGTGGTAATATAATAGGAAGAGCTGCTTAGTTAAAAGGAAGCGCTATAAAAGCTTTGGTGTGGGTTTCAAGTACACACCTTTGCATTCCCAGTATGCACAATACAACTCACATTCACCTCCCTCATGCCATCACACCACTTTCGCCAACAGAGGACACCGTTTTAATTAGAGACCCCTCTCCCAGCTTAATGAAATATTTCCAGCCAGGACCTCTTGACACAGGTGGCCAGCTCTGCAGATGAAGAGCTGTTAAGAGTCATTCCACTTCCCTCCAAAGGACACCGGCGCGCTCAATACAGGGAGCAGCTAGGTGGACAGGCATAGTCGGGGCCACGTTGATGGTTTGAAAGGTGAAAATAATTAGAGAAACTGCAGCCCTGGCTTTTCTGCAGCGGTCAGCATAATACGCATAAAGGGAAATCACCCGCCACCAATGCTTCAGTGAAGCAAAAGCCGATTTGAACAGACGTAGTAGAAGAAGAAAAACAACTGGCTGTTTGGTTCCCCGACTGACAAAGATAACGAGCTACAAAAGGCAGAGTGGAGAGGAAGAAGACTGTTCAGCGCCTCCAGTGGTGTTTTGGCACATTGAGGTGCTGCTCACTCACTGTTTTAACACCGTTGCCTTTTACCAGCTCCTCACAGTCTGCTCCCTTCCTCTCCCCAGCCAAATCGACAGACAGGTGTACATGTGTGCTAGAGCTAGCTGGTGACTGAGGCGGGAGAAAGTTACGGTTGTTCAATACAGAGAGATGATTCCGAATGCAAACAAGTGCTGGTGAAATGATGAGTGCATTCATTCTCCGTGCCTCGTTTGTAGTCTTCCTTTATGCGTCTCCCTTGTTTACATGATTTTGCCCCGGGAAGGTCATCTGAGCTTATTGTTGAGGCTTCTTTGTTCCCCTATCTAATGGCACCGCAGCAGAAATAACCACAAGCATCTAAAAACCTTGGAGAGCCGGGGACGTAATTATTGTTTTCACCAAATCACAGAACGGCTATCTCGTCCACAATCGAAACGCTGTTATTCAGCCTCTGCAATCCTTAAAACACTGGAGCCTTTCACCCAGTCTGAGAGAGGAATGCAACATTTCAAACAACAACATTAATAGCACGATGCCGTCACAAATGATTCAGCAGACGCACACAGATCTAACAGACGTGTACGTGAGGTCAAATGGGGATAAATATATTCCTCTGATTATGGTTAATGGTTCACAGAAGCTGGCTCTATCGCTGTTTGTTGAAGCGCTTCTGATTCATGCCTGCCATCCATGCAGCTGAGAGAAAGAGTTCTTGTGGCAACACGAGTGTGCTGCTGTGGCCTTTGTCATACTGTAATTAAAGATAGCTCATGAGTCACGCTGACACACACGACCCAGCAACACTACGGCCGCCATCCGTCCTGCTAAAAACAAGCACGAGTTGTTGGGTGGGGCTTAACATGAGGCGGTAATGTGCAGGCCAAACATGATCACAGTGTGATGACAGTGGCTGTTCATTTTAATGTCTTGTTATTGTAACATGGTTCATAGAAAAAAAAAGAAAAATCACTGAAACACAAAAATTGGGGGAAAACATGTTTTTCTGCTAATGCTTTAATGGAATGAGCTTGAAGTCAGCCACATAATAGTCATCTGACCAGCCACTGCATATCTTTTTGGGATGAAACATGCTAAATATGCATTTAGCACACAAAAGCATACGCCGCCCTCTGGCCATCCTTGCTCAGCGGGTGGAAGCTACTCCATGATGTGGAAGCAGAGATGTTCGTCCCCCCTCTGGCAGAGAGTGAAGACAGAGACAGATGAGCTCGATGGCTCCAGAGGCCACCTGGCTGCATCCATCCACACGGATTGGAGCTTCACTCTCCTCCGTCTCTGCCCTCTGACCAAGCGTTGCCCGTTGAAACATTGCACTGTGAGGTGAGAGGTCAGGCTAATGGCCCCACTCCATCTTCTTTGTCCTGCACGATTTCCTCAATCTCTGTCCATCACACACTCTCTTTCTCTTTATTCCTCCCTCCTTCCGTGACACTTTGGCTTATTGATCTGACTGGAGGAGAGAACATTAGTTGATCCGGGCTGCCATGGTTTTCGGATTGCAGCCGGTAATCATCCTAAGCACACATTAGTAGCAACCAAGGCCTCACCGGGAGACATTTCTGCTATTTTCTGAGGACACTTTCACACCTGTAGTTTGGTCCAGACCAAGAAAAACAAATAAAGCATATTTGTCTTTACGTTCTGGTCCAGTTCGTGTATCCACTGACTTTTTACAAACAAAACAAGACGAGTCAACAAGAAATCATACAGATTGGCAGGTAACTGTCATGCTACATCATCAGGACCCAAGTGGAAAATCAAATCCTTTTCAAGCAATCACGTTCCCATTATTCAATCCGCACTAGGGTTTGAGTGACAAGTCAAGTCGAGGGCAAGTCTTTAATGAACCAAAGTGTTCAGGTGAGAAAGCACCGTTACAGCGTTCTACCATAAGGCATCCCCTCGACAATACAATTGATCAGAACATTCAGTTGATTGGCTCGATGCCTTATATACTTCCTCGTAGAGAAACGCAACTTCAGGAATCAGACGCGTAGGATTAGAATAAGGACACCAAACACTGAGACTCCCAGAGACATGTGGAGTTAATCAGTGATTCTCATGGAACCAGTCATAAGCAGTTTTTAGTGAGTCCTGGGTTGGCAGGTGTTGTCATGGTCCCTATGACAACATATTGACAGGATGTGACAATTGGCACTGTATGCTTGGTAAACTGATTTGGTGACAGCTCGGTGCAAAAAAATATTTCCACACAATGAAT